GGGTCAGTCTAACCTGCTCGGCGCGTTCGCCTGGCCTGTTAGACTGACCCGCACAGCAGCAGTGCGTGGCGGCACGGCATTCTTCTGCCCGCCGCAGCCTCATGTGCGGTGAAAGATGACATATTTTGTCTACAAAACTGCGTGAACAATTAGGAGAAAGGACGAAATATAAGTCGAGAACGGTACAGGGATCATTAATTGTTCGCTGATGTCTTCTGTTTAAGCCGTAAGGTGGCAGTGAGAATCAGCAGCAGATAGTGCAGCAGTCTCATGCATGATAGCGTGTTGCCGGATGCGTACTTATTGCGGTTTCTTTTACTAGTGTTTGCGACCTGGTTTAGGAAAGTGGGTGTTTTTATATATATTTTGATGGCTACATTTCATCCCACCCCGTGTGATACGGTAAAAAGTTTGAAATGAGTTTGAACCAGAGTCTGACACGGCCCTGACAACACCCTTTTGTTAGAAAATCGTGAGCATTCACTATTCAGAAACATTTTAAAGTAATTTTGGATTTCCTCACATGTCCAAGCAGGAACAGCGTCTGATGAAAAGTCATCAAAAGAGCAACTTCTGACAGAGGACTAGGGAAGTGGAAAGATTAGAACAGGTTCTTCAAAATGATCTATTACTCTTCGACAATAGTATGTTCTTGTGTAGTTATTTGGTTAAACAATCTGTCTGAGCAAAGAGGTTCTTCAGAGTTGGCTCGTTTATCACAAACAAAATTTGAAATGTCACTGAATAGATTAACTTAAACGTGTTACATAAAAGCAAGGTCGAATTATTGATGTCAATTTAAAGTCCAACCGGTCAAAAAAAAAAACAGTTCGCTTGTCAGTTTGTAGGTATGTTAATTTATCCGCACAGTAATTTTGCATGACCTATGCGCTATGGCATGAATTGTCTCTATCAAAGTGACCTAGTCAATATTGTATTGTATTGTTAGACTGACTTTTAGTCGAAAAGAGGGCAAAGGGAACGCATTGCATTCGTAATGTGAAAGTCGTGAAATTCACCGCTGGTCAATGTAAAAGGTCGAGGTCCATTGCAGTATACATATACGTTATACAGACTATATAAGTTTGTGAATTTTCCTTATTATGACAAATGAAATACGGCATATACGTAATGTACGCCATGTGCACTCTCACAATGCGCTCATGGCTGTGATGGCCGCTTTTATTTGTGCGCAGCCGTTCAGTGAAAATTGCAGCTGTCCGCTCCCATTCCAATGGGTAGCACAAGTGTTTACGAGTCCGCATCCTGTGTTTACATTCTGCGCTCTACATCCTCTACTCTATATGGGCTAAAAATAAATAGGCACCCTCCAGACGAGAATGACGTGTGCCATGACGCACATTCCGTGTTTCTGCGTCCTGTATTGTGGAGTCGCAGCAATTATGTTTGCTTTTCATGAAAATTTGACGTCAAAAAGGATTTGAGTCACAGACAAGGAGTGCAACAAAACATAAAATGACCTATTAAAAGCGAATTTCTACGTAAATGTGTCGTCACATTTACGACACACATAAAGATGTATGTTTTCATACATTTTTAACGCATTAAACTGAAGCCGGATTTTCTCGAACAATTTGCACTTCAGTCATTTTTCAGTGATTTTTTTTTTTTTTTACTTAAAAATTTCAGTAGACGGGACGAAACGGACCACAAAGTAATCCTGACCAGATCACTTAACCCTTCCCACCCCCCAAAGAGAAAAAGATGAACCGCACTCGGAAACATAGTTATGTGTTACAACCTTTCAGTTTGAGTGTTATTTGGCTGCACGCTTCATCACCTTCTCAGCTCGCCGTGTCCGAGGGTTTGGGCGTGTTTTCATTTGCTTTTAGTCCTGCAATATCTGCGTAGAAGATCTCTCGTAGGTATATGCTGTAAAATGCTAGCCAGACCACTGTTCCTTTTTTGCACATTACTTGCTGTCCGTGAATATTTACGACTTCATAACACATAAAGAGCGTTATCTGCACCTGTCCAGATTATTTTGCGTTATTCTCTCATTCGGCATGATAATTGTATTGGGTAGTCATATATGGACTTGCAAGTTTTGATTCTTGTGGAATTTTGTGACGCGGCGTCGCGAAAAGATTCCCTGTCAATTGGGGACTTCGTCGTGAGCATTGTCAAACATCTCGTACACCTTTTTACGGCCAAATATAGAAAAAGTGCACACGGTTCAGTAATAGTGCAACCGTTTCAAAAGTTCGACATAGTGCACCGCTAGTTCGGCCGAGTGCATGAAATTCAGTAACAGTGCACACGGCGCCGAATTTATGCAGGTAGGTAGGTCTCTAGCATGCAGCTAGGCGCAAGCAATTTAAAAGGTAGTGCATTCATTTTAAAGTTGTGACTTCAGTTTCGTCAGAGTGCATCGCTTCGTCATGTGCATTGGTATTTGGCCTACCGCAAAGCAATCCGGTGCTCCATAAAAAATGACTTCGCTCATGCTGAAAGGCCGATTGCGCTGATTACCGGGCCGATTGCGCTGAAACTTTGCATGCAGGTAGGCACCCACTAGGCAATGCAGTTCCTTGTCCCACAGTTAGTGTTGCTGCACGTGCGCACGTGCAGGGGTCGATTCCAAATCTTGAGAACGGCTGGACCGATTGCGCTCAAATTTGGTAACCAGTTAGGGACCGGTTAGTAGGATGCCGTGCAAAAGTAAGTTGGGACCCAACTTGCACGTGCGCACGTGCAAGGAGCCGTTTCCAGATCTCGAGAACGGCTCGGCCGATTGCACTCTAATTTGGCACATTGCTAGAGACCGGTTAGTAAGGTGCCGTCACAAGTCAGTTGGAGTACCCATCCCCTCAGAATTTCGCACGTTCAGGGTTCACCCTCTCGCTCCCTCCGTTTGTCGCCCTATACGGCGTTTTACTGGTGTTAATCGTCATATCTGCCATCTACACGTATATTAACCCGCGCGGGGCTGGGGTCTCCAGCCAAACGCGCGGGGCTGGGGGGGGGGGGGGTAAATTTTACCCCCCCCCCTGTTATCTCCCGAACTAATGGTCCGATTTGGAAAATTCAAACGCCAATCGAAAGATCTCATCACGAACAACTAAAAACATGTACTTAATTTTAAGTTTGAGGTCAAGGTCAAGGTCAGGTCAAGGGTACAAATTGCAAGTTCCTACAGTATCGGCCTTGCACCGTAGTTGCCGAAGAATGGAGTCATGGACTGAGACTGGTCGCCCAAAACGTGTTCTTAGGCTACCAAGACAATATTCGTTGCATACAATATCATTCAGATGTCAAGGTCAAGGTCAGGTCAGGTCAGGTCAGGTCACCAAAAACAAAATATAGAAAAGGGCATGTGCAACACATGTTTTATGGGTCATTTTACTCATAGAATTCAAAAGGCACACTCAATAAGTGATATGGACCACCTCTGGATGAATTTCAGGTCGAGGTCAGGTCAAGGTCAGGTAAAGTGAGGTCAAATTTTGAAGTTGGTTGTTAAGGCCTAAAAAGGTGTCTATCTGATGCAGTTTTTCACGGCGAATCGAATGGTGCTATTTTTGTTTCCGTACGAGGTCTAGAACTTCCAAAATAGTCATTTTTCAAAAAAATTGTGTGTCGTGACGTCATACAATTTTGAATAACTCCCACATTTTTGAACCGATTCTTCTAAAACTTGGTATGTAGGTACACATAGACCACTTCTCTGACATATATTCCGTTTTTTTGATACACTCAAAATTTTGGATTTTATAGCTATTTTCCCCCAAAAAATAGTTTTTTGAAAAAATTTGGGCCAAAATCCAAAATTTTCAAAAAACCGAGATAGCCATTTGATAGACAAAGTAGAATTACGTATATCCTTTTTTGTTACGTCTTCATTCCTTTAAAAATGAAGATGTTAGCGGCGTTTGAACTTTTGCCGTTTTTGAGGCGAAAATGGCGAACATGACGTCACTAAAACGTCAATTTCTCAAAAAATTTCCGACGGATTTCGCTCAAATTTTCAGGGAACGTGTCAAATCGATGTAAGAAAAGGCACTGAAAGTTTGGCGGCGCTGCGCGCCGCCGTTTTTGAGATATTGCAAAAATTCGCGAGGGGGGGTAAAATTTACCCCCCCCCCAGCCCCGCGCGGGTTAAATTCATATAGGCTGACTGGGGTGGCCTGGATTTTAATACCCTGGTCCAGGGCTGCGGAGTCGATGGATTTTCGGCGACTCCGACTCCGACTCCGACTCCGGCTTTCAACAACCAGCTCCGACTCCGACTCCGACTCCGGGCAGAATTGTCGACTCCAACCGACTCCAACTCCCGACTCCGACTCCGCAGACCTAGCAGGGCTGCGGAGTCGACAGATTTTCGGTGACTCCGACTCCGACTCCGGCTCGGGTTTCTAAAATCGACTCCGACTCCGACTCCGACTCCGGTCACAACTGTCGACTCCGACCGACTCCGACTCCGACTCCGACTCCGACTCCGCAGCCCTGCCCTGGTCAGTGCTCATATAAGTGCTCATTTTTAGTTGCCGTTTTCGCCGACATTCGATGGAATTTGGATGTGAATGACACGCGCTCGCCTCGCGTTACATTTCGTGATGTACATAGATCTAAGATTCGACAGCCTCTTTTAATTTAGCCCCCGAGTCCCGGCTAGTCGAGGCTATGAGCACTGCCCGGGGTTTTTAAATCCAGGCTGCCCCAGTCAGCCTGTAGAATGAATCACTACGTCTTACTGGGTGTTTAAAAGATTACGGTGTTCATGTTGCAAGTTTGTCGAAACTCGAAATAGTACCGTATTTATATTCTCTCGAGTTTTGTCAGAACACAACTATTCTAAATGTTTTTTTATGAGTTTTTTTTCTGATGGGTACATTTCCTATACCTAATGTATTTTAAGATGTTTGACCTTAAAGCTTTTAAAATTGTTAGCGGTGCCAGCATCGTCATTACCACTATTGTTTCATCCGGGTCGCAGGATCCAATGGCGATTTCTGTCGCCAGCTCAATAGACAGCCGTATACAACGTGTTGAGATTTATTGTTAACAATATATATGTAGTGGGTCAACAACGTATGAGTGGTGCAGCGGCTGGGCTGGACCGGGTCGGGTCGGCAGCAGCGGGCCGAGGTGGCCGCGGGGGCGCGCGGGCCGGCGGACCGGCGGCCGGTCCCGGCGCAGCGGGATGTATACTGGCGAGACGCTCGACAAGCGGGCAGCGAGGAAGGCAGCGCGGCAGAGCAGCGGCACCCACCTGCTCGCTCGCTCGCTCCGACCGCCGCCATGACACCTAGATATGTGGACACGGAAGGCTCGAGTGGCCCTCGGACCGGCGACACACCAAGAACGACTGCGCAGGCACGCGCAGCACGGACCGAAAACGAGGAACATACAACTGCACCGCGCGCTCCGCGAGGGCGCGCGCAGCGCCAATGAAGCCGGCCCAGCGCCAACCGAAACTTATTGCGTACCAGCGGCAACGGATTACACACAGACACAAACACCAATCGAGATTTCAAACCATATTGAGCCAGTAACACAAAAAGCGTGACACCGATATGTACATGTAAAGAGAAAGGCAGCGGGATAGCCGTAGGCGTCCCGATAGGCGCTCCTCTCACAGCGAACAGGTACACTAGTCAAGGCTGAACGTCCACTCTCGCGCTCTTACCCGCCCTCCCTGCTTGTCTGGCAGTCGCCGATACGTACAAATTCCCGCGCGATAAGTTCGCGTCCTGCGCATTGCGTCCCGGCCGGCCTGCGGCCACAGTTCCACTTCTCACCGACTCACAGCGACTCTCACACGCTCACAGCTGCGGCTGCGCCAGCCAGCGCACATAGGACAGCCGGATAGAGATAGGAAGAGAGCGAGATAGAGGAGAGACAGAGCGCCAGAGAAAGAGAGAGGCAGTGGGCGGCACTGCCTCGCCGTTTTGATTATTTGACCGGCCGGTGGGGTGCGCCGGCTGCCCTTTAGAACGGCAGACCCTGCGCGAACAGACTCTCGATCTGGGGAGGTGCCGGCACCAGGTCCTGCAGCTTCAGGTAGAACAGGATCTGCAGGCCCTGCAGGCTGAGCGACCGCAGCTCGGGCAGCTTGCCCAGCACCTGCGGCATGTAGGTGGAGGAGCGCTTCACGCCCCTCCCGTAGGTGATGTGGTCGCGCAGGCTGTTGATGATGCGCCCCTGGATCGATTCGATCTTCTGCGGCTCTCTGACGCCGTGACGGTCTGCCGAGAAAGGAACGAAACTGTTAGCTCAAAGCTATCCAACCAATATCCAATATCCATCGCTTGTGTCCAACCAATGCGGAAAAACTGCTCAGAGAAACGTAGTTTTGTGTGACAGAAAATCCAATCGTTTACATCGTTGAAATAAAGACACAGCGCTACAATACGGGTTCGGTGTATTTTCCCCGTTATCCGTTTACAACGAGACAGAAAACTTATCGGAAGTCGTAAATTCCCACAGTGTGTGCACAGTGTGTGATATCAGGGCTGCCATGTAATCCTGTCTGTGCTGACCACGATCTATCCCCGCAAGACTGGTGCAGGTCGGAGACGGCTTTTTTAGTGGCTCCTATCTACGATGATATCACACACAATCCTTCTCCTGAGAACCAGTTGTCAAATTGGCTCAAACGCATCTCACGAGCTTCCAATTAGCCGCGCAATGCTCAAGCAGCCACTTAACAGACGTCGATGCATGTCAGCGTTATCTTAACCCACGTCATCAAAGGTCGCCCTTCGTCACCCGGATCACCTTCTTCACGTCAGCGAACTCACCAGTGATGAGTGTGAGGGCGGCCAGGCAGGCGAAGGACGACACGTCCAGCTCCATGGCTCGGAGGCTGGCCGAAAAGTCCACGATGGGCTGCAGCCAGTTGCGGAAGGTTCTCTCGCACTGCAGGCGGTGCAGCACCAGACCGGTCTCGAACACAAACTTGTCGTCCTGCGGGTTGTACCTGGAGAGGAGAACCGTGGGCGTTAGCTGGCTGATGACCCCGACGCGATCTGGCACTGGTATGCTTGCTGCTGGTGGCGGAAATGATATGCCACGAATGCCAAATTTTGATGGGTTTATGATGCCATATAATTCAAACAAGCTGTCGGTGCAGGTGTTGTCTATGAGAAGCTAATTTTGTCGCTAATCCGTTGTTTTGCTAAAAGCGGAGCCCGTCGGCGCTGCGAATATAATCGAATGACTAAAACCAATAAAGATTGTCGGCTGCTGGAAATTCCTGTCACTGCGGTGCATCCAGAACTTTAGCCATTTTAGTCATATCAGTGGGACTGCTCGACAGTAAAAAGAAATGCTCCATCCTAAAAACTGCTATCGGAATAGTAAATCCGCTGAGCACGGCGGCTCTGCGGGTGTCGCCGGTTGGGCTCACCTGTAGGCCAGCCGCAAGACGAACAGCTCCAGGGACGCCGACTGGAACAGCAGCTCCTTGTCCTCTCGGCACAGCTCCGAGAAGCCGGGGATGCGCTCGGCGAAGCCGCGGATCACGTCGATCGAGGACGTCACCAGGCTGTAGAAGCGCTGGATGCTGTCCGCCTCGGAGGTGGGCGACTGAGAGCCGTCCGGCACGCGCAGCTGAGAGAAGTCGTGGCTGGCCACGTCCGGAGACGTGTCCACGTGAGCGCGCACCAACGCCGTGATGAGCGACACGGGAGGCGATGGCGGCGGCTCCTGCGGCGACTTGGGCTTGCTGGGCAGCCGGCCGCGGCGGCCCTTGAGCGAGTCGGTGCGCACCACCTCACGCACCATCCCGTTCTGGAGACATTTCTGGAAGCGGCAGAACTGACACCGGTTGCGCCGCCTCTTGTCCACCGTGCAGTTCTGGCTGCCGGTGCTGCACACGTACTTGGCGCCCTTCTGGACGGTGCGCTTGAAGAAGCCCTTGCAGCCCTCGCAGGTGCGCACACCGTAGTGCTGGCAGGCGGCGGTGTCGCCGCAGACGGCGCAGAGCAGGGAGGGCGACTTGGGCTTCTGGTCGGTCGGGGAGCCGCGGGCTGACGTGGGCGAGGAGGTGGCGCTGGGAGTGGCCGGCGAGGAGCCGCCGATCCTCATACGCATCATATCCAGCCTGGGGAGAAACGTCACCGTCAGTCTCACGCTGATCGATCGGCAGTCACGATTCGGAAATGCACCGGAATCAAGTTGTGATATAATATTAAAAGTGTCTTGTAAATTTTGTAAACCATGTGTATTGTGAAGTAATATACGGAACCGTTGGAAGGTTTTCGCGTTTAACATAAAACGGAAACAGCCAAGCCACCGTTGTACCGAACGGAAACATATGTGCTCCGTCATAAAAACCACGACAGTTTGATTGTGATCGTGAGCAAACAGCACCGTCTGGGAATTTGCATAGAATTGTTCCCTCACCACTCAGGTTCCCAGTCATGTGGCGGGAAGTGCAAATATTTGTCGGTGGTATGTTTTCAGTTACCAGCATTAACCTCTCAAACGGGCCGATTGTATGTAGAACACAGCTATCCAGTCAGTTTGCGGTGGAACAAAAAACTTAATTGGTGTTGCTAGTCAACAGAAGATTAAGCCTCGAGCTATTATCTATGCTACAACCTACAAACAATGATCTCTACCAAGAAATGAGCACACTCTACGTTTCAGCTAGAAACAGTATTTTTAGACACTAACCCGTCCTGTCGGCTGAGGCTGAGCGGCAGGCTGGACCGTCTCGACTTGGCAACTGCTGCCGCGGCCGCCGCTGCCGCGGCCGCCGAGTGTCCGCCGTCCACGCCCGGGTACGGCGCGGCGTGGCCGGGGTACGGCGGCGGTACGGCCGGCGGGTGGCCCGAGAACGGCGAGTACAGCTCGGTCGGGTAGCGCGGCTGGGCGGCGTACGACTCCGGCGCCGAGAACGCTCCGCCGCGCTGGTACAGCTGGCTGTAGTCGGCCGTGTAGCCGCCGTACGCCGCGCCGTACTCGGGTGTGGGCTTCTCGGGGCGGTACGGGTACGGCTCGAGCCGTGGCCGCGGCGCGTACGTCTCCTCAAAGCTGGGCAGTGTCATGGGGTCGGCGGCGGGCGGACTGGCGCGCGCCGGCCCGGCCGCCGGCGGACTGGCCGCCGGGGAGCTGTAGAACGGCTGCGGCTTCATGTCCACGGCCGAAGCGAACATCTCCGTCTGCAGGATGTCGGCCAGGGACGTCTCGGCCGGCTCGGCGGCCGCGCTGCACTCGATCAGCGGCTTGAACTCGTCCTGCTGTCCGCCGGCCGAGTAGCAGCCGCTCTCGTACGAGTACGTGTCCGGGACAGCCGAGAAACCCTGCTGGTTGTGCCCCTGCGCGCAAACAACGCTCGCGTCACAGGCGGAATCTGCCAAACTGCAACCAGTTCCTACATGACCAATCCATTAATGCCGGCGTAGATTGAGGCCGAGTTGACCGCGGCATTTTTCCAGAGGCCACCGCTGCTGATGCAAGCTAGCAACTATTTCCAGACAAATGAACGGACAATCTGCGACAAATATCCATTCCATATCAGTGGCAGCGTTGTTAAAGGGACAGTATCACCATTTTGATGAAATTTGACATTGCATAGGCCCCACCTTTCTGGTCCGGGAACTGAAGACCGATCCTCGAAGCTCCACACCGTTATCCCGCTATCGCCGCTCAAAGTACGAAAGGTGTACCACACTTTGAATCGTGCAGAATCGTGCTTCACTATCTTCACTGTTTAAATGTTTGCGCCGTTTTGAATTGACCGCCAGTAATAAAACTTTTACCCTGGTCATTTCATCAAATTTTATAAAGCCAAAACGTTTTTTGCACTTATTCATCACCGTTAAATTCATTAAATAGTCGTAGGCAATTTCCGCTGTTTCCTTCGGATTCTAGCGGCTCAACAAAGGAATTCCTCCAGCTTGAATCACAATCTCCCTCCAATGTATGACGTTTATCACGTGATTATCACGTGATATTTTCTCCCATAGTCAATTGTCACGTCCAATTGTCACTCCCTCCAATTGTCACGTGATATTTTTATAGGCAATACCTCAGGCTACCTCTCCCTAAGGACAACTCAATCAGAAGAACGACCGCGTAAGCGTAGCGTCAATAATGTATTATCTGCGCCAGTTCTGTAGTAATTTTGCATGCTTCCAAACTGGCGGCCATGCTTGTATAGTGGTGGTTCGCTCATGAAAATGAATCATGAAAATGAAATGTGGTTGCAATATTTTTCACCGAGTTCGGTCCTCAAACTATGTTTTTCTGATTCAGAAAAATAAGAAATGCTAGTAAAAAAAAAATCAGCTCCATACATTGATTTTTTTTTCGATGATACTGTCCCTTTAAAGCTAAAAACAATGAGCCAGTGACCCAGGAAATAAAACGTTCCGGGTTTCTTTAAAGGGACCCTACCACCTTCAAAAAAGTTAATGAATTGGCATGAAAGTGATGTCGCTCGGTTCAGAAAGAGCAAAAACGAATATCTACCAAATTTCATCGAAAAATATTCACCGGTTTTTAAGATATTAGACTTTTACTTTTGTTTACTTTTTGGGATCTCCGCTGTTCCTAGCGACTTTATTTGAAAGTGCGGCATTTGTTGCGCGCAAAGCAGCATATACCCCCGCGTGCTACAAAACGTTTTAGTCAAACATTTAAAAATCGTTAGATATCTGCGATGACGTCACACATTCAGAGGGGTATTCCTATGCATTAGCCCCTCTGAATCAAAATGCTGCAATTTTGAAATTCAATATTTCCGATTTAAGGCATTTATCGATGTTGTGAGTGTCGAAACCGGTAATTGTGAGCCAGGGACCCCATTTTGGCTATCTCAACTCAAATATAATGTTAAGGTGGGAGGGTCCCTTTAAAGGAGAAGTGATTTAATGTCAGAGTAGGAAATGGTCTCATTTACATTGAAATCAGGTCTCTCTCTCTCTCTCTCTCTCTCTCTCTCTCTCTCTCTCTCTCTCTCTCTCTCTCTCTCTCTCCTCTCTCCACTTTTCTCTTACCTGTGGCTGGAGAAGGAGCATGCTTTGCGCCGGACTACTGGTGCTCGAAGACCAGTGGGACGTGGCAGAAGACTGAACAGACGGTCCTGTAACAGAGAGATACCGTTCGTTAGCGCTGCACTGACCAATCTACAACCGAGCCAAACACAAACATCGTCTTTCACATAACCGGCTGATCAGGGAAAGACGCAACCGGTCTCCAGTGTCAGAGAGTTCAACATTCCAAACATCTCCGAACGTCTCCAAACAAGTTCTGAAATCCGGCATCGTACCACATATTCGTACCCTAACCGCCTGAATTCAGGAATCGGTCACCGCTCGCGGTCCCATAAGCACCCAAATACGTACGGGCGAAGGCGCTCAGAGGCCCGGCAGTCATCAGGCCGTCTTGACACGCGAACTGCTCAATGGTTGCAGCTGGGCGCGCGCGGCGCCGGACACTGAGGCCACCAATTCCGATCACGACACCGCGAGCCGGGCGGACACACGGCTGCTTTGATTTCCGAGAGCTAGGTGAGAGGTATGAGATGTGAGCGAGTTAGGATCGAGGAGTTGGGTGATGGGGCTCAGGTGTTACGATGCAGGTGAGCTGGGTTGGACGGGCGGTCGGAACGCAGGTACGCAGGGGGCGCCACGGGCGGTGCGTTGGCGGCGCTACGAGCCGATGAGGCCCGTACGGAACTCGTCTGAACGGGACGGAGTGCCCAGCAGGAGCGATGTCGGACCGTGTGTTCGCAGAGTGTCGGACGGAGTGTCGGACGGAGTGCCGGCAGAGTGTCGAACGGACTCCGGTGGTGACGGCCGCGGCTCCGGGTGACGACTGGAGCCCGCCGGCGCCGCCGCCGTCACCAGGGAGCTGTCAGTTGGACAGGTGATTCAGAGCGGACGGCTGACAGCCCCCGTGGGCGGCCCGGTGTCTGTCACTCTTTGTGGCGCCTCTCTCCCCTCGTGGCCGCGCCGCGGCGCGTGGCGGCTCGGCTTGGCTCTGACGGTACCGGCGCCGGGGAGAATAGGACGGCGGTGGGGATGTGACGGTCACAGAATGACGAGTGGACAGACTGGCGCCACGCGGGCGAGCAACAGGTCGCTTTGGTGTGCACGTGAGCCAACACAAACGTAAACGACTGCATAAATATGACTCACGCTGGGCTTTGTCAATTGTCACACAATATAACTGTGCTTAGTCGCGAGATGAAGTCAGTAAGCACTATACAACCGAATGTGACAGGAAACTTTACTCATTTACTACGTCCGCCACGTGCATCAAATCATTGCCTAACTTCCTGGGCCTACATCCACCCACCGGCCCATTATTGAGTTTTTACTGGACATCGCTCAGTCGCCCCAATAAAGACGGCTGGGCGGCGGCGGCGGCGGCGGCGGCCGTCTGCGGTCGACCGGCTGTCGGACGGAGGTGCCACTACCGGTCGGCAGCATCGATCCGTTCCGAGTCCGCCGGCGCGATGACCTGGTTCCGGTCCCCGTGCTCGCCCAACTCATGACCGAGGGGGTGCGGAGGGGGGCGGGGGCGAGGATCGATGCCGGGCAGTGCAGCGGCGCGCGCTGGCTTCGCGCTCTCGGCACGTGTTTGTGACCCGCGGCCGGATCGAGATGTACGGGTCTGCCGCCGCCGCTGGGACCCACTCTGCCTTGCAATGAGGTGCGCCGCCGCCCCCGTGGCCGCAGGTGGGGATCAGGAGACCCGTTCGAGCCCGGCCGGCCAGGTGGGGGCTCCAGGTTAATGACCAGGCTGGGGCAGAGCCCGGCCGAGCCTCTGACTGGTGGCCCGTTCGAGTGAGTCCGCCACCGCTGGGAAAAGGTGACATTTTAAGGACACTGAAGTGCTCTTCATACGGTAATGGAGGTGGCCCCGAGGCTCTCTGATTGAGGCTAATGAGAATGAACGAGAAGTGAGTGAGCGTGCTGAGTCTGTGCCAATTCACGATGGAGATGTGAATAAATCTGCGTTACCTATATTGCAATGTAATAAACTATCTTTGCGACAGCTATCTATGAAATACCTGCCGTCCTTTGTTCCCGTTACACACGGTAAAGAAAGCTTGCACGAATCTTCCAGCGATCAGTGACTTATGGTCAAAGTGGGAACGGTTGTAAACTTTTATCGATCAAAGCCAGATTTTAATGAGCAAGCCCTCTCATAGTATTTCAACGAACCAAATATGCAAATTCCATTAATAGCAAAGCAATCTATACGAAATAATGATGGGACTAACGATGGTCAGAGCGATTAGAATTTATCTCGCCAGGCGCCATTCCATAGATTGCAATAATAAATTTATCAACAACTTGTAATATGAACTATGGCCGCTAATGAAGACTCACTCGAGCAAGTAGCCATTGATCATATGGCACATCAGGTCCACTTCCGCCTTCCCTGCCGACACCATCCATCAGACAGAGAGTAATTTGTCCCAGCCATACCCTCTCTCACCCCGCTCCATCAGAAGCATCCCTCCCCGTACTCCTCCCCTGGCCTGTCCCCACTCAGCCGTGTATATCCTAAACTACCGCCCTCCCCCGCAATAACAAATATCGCGGTAACGCGGCGAACAACTGCGGCCGGTCAGGCTAATGAGTGACGTGGTCTGACGTCTAATGACCCGGTCCGCTGGACGCGGCCCCGTCGAGCCGGTGACACTCCCGGCGCCGGGCCGGGGAGCGCACCCAACAGCCATGAACCGTCGCCGGTCAGCCTTGACCATCCGCTCGGGACTCTGACCGCGCGGGTCTGTTTATAGTAACTGATGTTGATGCAGAATGCAGATTCAGCTGCAGACGGTCTAAAAATAGCCGCCAGGACTAGGACATTAGGAAACGCCGTCATGCCGGCGCTTGCGGTATGCACCTAGACGTCTATCACCCCCATCGGGAATACTATCGTGACTTGCATGCCTCATTGGCGATTCAGGATTGAACCCATGGTTGTATCCAAGACGGCTCGGGTCATAGACGGGTGCAGTTGTAAAAAGACGTGCGCTGCTTTTTATTTACAAAATTAAGTTTTAAGTCAACGATTGACGTTTCTTTATAAACAGTTTGAAATCTCACGAGTTTTCGAAACGGATACAAGGTAAAACTGAAAAGATTTTAGCCACTGAATAGTGAATACTTCTACTTGTTTGAGCAATGAATTGTTTTTTTATCATTTATCAATCACCACCCTACTTGATGGCTTAGATCGTTTTGAAGAATACGAAACAAGTCAAAATTTCTTTTGCGGAAGTTCACTTTTCAAACCGCGAGTTCAATACCAGTACCGACTACCGTGTCCTCTAATTTCAGCGATGTGAATTAAATGTGAGCAGTATCCATTAGCACTTTGTAGCTTCTTCAAACAAGTAATTATTACACGACTAAGCCAAAGTCTGTCTTCCAGACGAACAGAACGGTCAGACTCCCCTTCCCCAAACGCAGCGCACGCACTATCCCCCTCCTTTTTTTTGGGGGGGTAGGCCCTTTCGGTCTGACGAGACCATTTCAGGGCCGGAAGGATGGTAGGAATTAGGGGAGACATTGGTCTGGGCAGAAACCCTAGAGAGTCGCCGGGGCTGAGCCCGTCCGACAGGACAGGCCGACCAGCCCCCCAAGCACTCTCTGCACCCGGCTACGGGGCCGGGTGCGCTCCCTCGGGAGCAGCGATGCCGCTCCAAGGGAGCAGCCCGCATGAGATAAAGGTGCCTGTCCAGCCCGGAGTGGGGGTTGCGGCGTGGAGGAGAAGGATTTCAGTATCCTGAGGATAGAAGCACGGAACGGTGAACCCCCTCCCACCCCTTTCCTATCCAATTTATCTCACCTGGACCCCTCAGACGAGGGCTGTGCCCGCGGGCTTGTCCTACCCGGTCACCTGGCTGTGACCCAGCGCTGACCCGGTCTCCACCGATTGCTGACCACCGGAGACAGACCTGCACGCGTCCACCTCCCGACCAGCCAGGAGGAGCACAAGCAACAGACTACCGTCCAGACGAGCCGAGCCAAGACGGCGCGCTGGCCCCGCCTCCGCCGCCGCCGCCGTGTGTGACGTCACATCTGCAGTGTGACGTCACAGTTGACGCCCGCCCCGCCAGGAGAGCCATCAAAGCGTTTGACGTCACAGTTTGACGTCACACCTTGGATCGATGCCGGTGCGGGTGGCCTGTTGCCAGGCCCGCGGGCGGCTGGGGGTCGACCCGTCGGCGGGGTGGGTGTGCCACTGGAGGAGCCCGGGGCGGAGGGACCGGACGGAGACCTGCCCCCTGCTCTGGGGGTAGGGATAGAGAGATGCGAGGGGTCCTGTCGGAAATGTCTCCGGTAGTGGCCGCTGGAACCACTGAGCCGGACGGACGGTGTGTGCGGATGCGGGTCAGCTCAGGTGCCTCAGACAGGTCACGACGCCAGTTGGCGAACACCGGACTCAGGATTGGCAGGAGTCGCTGTGAGTGGTGCCAAGATGCCGAAGCACAACTTTAGGCCCAAGGTGATGACGTCATCGACGCCGCTGCAGCTGACCCCGCCAGGTCAGGTGACCGAGGTGCGCAGGTGACCGACTCCAGAACTTTGACCGCCGCGCCGTGTCACCCATCGCCGGTCATACACCGCACCGTCAGACCATTACCCAGCCGATATCTCTGATCACCGCCTATCGTCAAATCTCCCCGGCGTGAGCCCAACGTACCGAGTTCTGAGTCTGAGTCAGGTTCCGAGTCGCAGGCCATAGTTTCCAGCTCAGTACCGAGTCGGTTCAGCTCGAACAGAAGCGACTCCAAGTCGTCACTGGGCGAGAGACAGCACATCTTGCCTCCTCACTGCCGCTGGCGTCGCGCGCAACTACCGCCGCGCGCCGATTGTCGCCTGTTTATAGGAAGCTTCTTGTGTCGTCACCGCGTGTGCCCTGCCGCGCGCGTCACGCCGGGTACCGCGCCGCCCCGAGGGCTGACGAAGGGGTAGGCTGTGACAGCAGCGCGCCGGACACGGCCGTCCGAGCGCGTGGGGCTCGCCGTGGGTGGATTTCCCGCCTGAGCAGCGCCGTCTAATCTCGTGTGAACCCCCTGATGCGCCGAAGACGGTCTCGGGAGTGACTGAGCGGTGGTATTTGTTGTGGGCGGCTCTGGTAGACCGGGGGGAAGTCGAGCACCGAGGAAGGTCGCCGAGTCTGGACTGTAATTGTTCCTCGCAGAAGGGAAAATGGAGGGGAGCGCGGAACGTAAAACTAACGGCGCGCCGAGGCCTTCTTGTAGGCAAAATTAGTAATTAGCAGTCAGGAATAGAAATAGAAGCGGTTGATAGAGGAAAGTGCATAACAAACTGCACAGGACATGATTCTGCAAAGAAGTATTTCATATTTGCGATTCGCAGTTGATGCGCAATTTGTACGGTGCATTGTTACTAATATTGCAAGTTCCTAGAGTGTTATTAAAAGGCAGAAAAAATATTGCTATATATAATTCATAAATAGATCCAAATCACTAAAACAAACCGCCAGCACCACTGGGCCGAAGCATTGCTAAACAAAATTGGTGACATGCAAAGCAATAGCTACCTACCTATTGGAATGTGCTGTTTATAATACCAAAAGGTCGAACAGAGCATTTTTAATGATACAAATAGAACACGCTTCTGATAAAGACTTAGCTATTAAGAAAAGAATATTCACGTTTAAAACTTTGTCTAGACGCAAATGTGCCACAGAGGTCATTGAAGCAGTTAGTACAACCAGGCTTGGTCAGATAAGCAAGCCTTACTTGTTTTTGCATTTGGGTACACAGATGAAGAAATGATTATTGAGTACGCTATGAATGCATGGTTTGAACGTTTCACGCACCTTAAAGTATAGTTGTTCGCTATTGACGTATAGTAATACAATTTGGAAAAGGCAGAAACTATCATTTAACGGTGACTCGAGGAAAAAATATGGTCCGTGGGTCGAACTTTCACTCCTATTTCGTATATTATCAGTGTGTATATCTCACGCAGCTATCGTTACCAGTGAATGGTTGAGGCCCTCTCAGGTAGGTAGGTGCCCTCTGAGGCCCCCACCCCTGAGGGCCATGCCGGCAGCGGCTGAGACGGCGGCGGCGCGCCAGCCGTGGTCCGGCCACCGCCCGCCGATACATAAACACACGCCCGAAACAATGCGCCGGGCCGTCGCCGCCGACACTTGGCTGAGGTGCGCCGTCGGGTGACGTCAAACTCAGGTGTGACGTCGTTCATTGACGT